GAAGGAGTAGGAGGGTGCGGAGGGTTGGGGGAGCGTCTCGGGAGTACAGGCCCGAAGGAAAGAAAAGGAGGGGAAGAGAGGGGGAGGGGGAGCTCCTGTACAGAACTATCGGTATAGAGATAGATGTAGGGGAAGATATGTTGGTAGATGTATGGGCGGGCCGGGCCGGGCCGCGGGAGGAGCCCAGTCAGTGTGTAGTAGTTGGGGCGGCGGCGAGAGAGGGAGGGGGAGCGAGAAGGAGAGAGAGAGAGAGAGAGAGAGAGAGAGAGGGGGGGGGGAAAGAGAGGGCGCTGGCGCCAATATGGGAGTGATGTATCAGCCGGGGGCTGGGCTGGGGCGGTGTAACCCTCTCCGCCTGGCGGTGGTCTCTTCTCCCCCCTCTCCCTCTCCCTCTCTCTCCCTCTCGCTCTCGCTCTCTTTTGCAAATCCAAAGCCGGTCGCCCTGCCTCCCCTGCGGGGTCCCGCGGTCCCGCCCCGCCACCGCCGGGTCCGGCACATTGCGCCGGGGCCGCCGGGGTCGAGCCGCGGGTGTATTGTGTCCCGAGTGATCGGCGCGGCCCCAAGACCGGCCCGTCTCAAGGCGGCTCTCAAAGCCTCGTCCCGCGTCTGGACGATACCCAGACTTCTTAGGTGGGCTGTCGTCTGTCGCGGTTTCTGTGGACTGGACTAGGGATTTGAAGGCCGAAAAAACCCGGGGAAAGTTGTGGAAAAAAAAAAGAAAAGATGAAGAGGAAAAGGAAAAAAGACGAAAATTTTGCAAATAGTCACTAATTTTTCCAGTTTTTTCAAATTATTCCTGAAAAATTCTGTAAAAAGGGCTTCTTTTCCGGAACTAAGGGACTGTCTAAAATTGAACTTTTCCGGAAAATTTAAATCTCTACTGGACGCGCGGCGCATTCCTCTCGGGTCCCGAGCATTCCTCCCTCCGTCTCTTTCTCTCGTTCGCGCGCTCGCCCTCCCCTCTTCGATGCGCCTCGTCTGCTCTGCTAAAGTCTGGCGGCGCGGGCCCGCCCCAGCAGGTAGTGGCGCCCCGCCACGCTGCCCCACCACGCCCCGCCGCGCCCCGCTCCGCCGGTCGGCTGGCGCTCGCTGGCGCCCCGCGAGGCTGGCGCCGCAAGGTCGCTACGGCGTGGGCGGAGCGCGGCGGGGCGGCAGCGCTCGCGGGCTGGGGAGGGCCCGCTGTCTGCTGACAATCTTGTCAGATAAGGATGTCCGCCCTTC